TCTCCGACTCAGTATAGAGGTATATATATTTCTCAGATTTAACATATGATAAAAAATATAGGCTTAATACATGCCAAGGAAAGAAAAAAATCAGACATAAATAAGAATATTTTTGTACTATAATGTATATTTTAAATAAAAAAGGAATATATCTACGTATTATCTATTTTTGCAATATTCTGCAAATATTTTCGGAATCTACATGTGTTAGGAATATAGATTATAAAGTGTTAGGAGTATGGATGTTGTGTTTTTTTGCATATAAATTATATAAATTATACGCGTGTTGTTTATAAAGTCTTCATAATATAATAAAAAAAAATAATAAAATATGAAACCATGTCTAATGCAATTAAAAATAAAACAGTATATAAAAATAAAATATAAAACAATTACAATAAAAGTCTAATAAGAGTCAAGATCACTGATAACAGTGCGTATTTATTCTTCGGAGAAAAAAATATTTTTTCGCTTTATATTACATTGCAATATCTTTACCTTGAACGTTTCGGCTCAATTTTCGAATCATCTTCAGCAGTATAGTCAGTATAAGAGAACAAAGAATAATGAATTATAGTCAGTTATATGATTAAAACATGATGTATCAAATACAACAACATCAACGGACAGATGCAATTTTGCAATTACATGGTGAAGATCAACCAAAAAAAGATTAATATCAGAAATGTTATGTATAGAACAACATTAAAACAGTCTCAATTTATTAAGCAGATACGGAATTTTTACATAATGGATACGTCTCTATCTTAAATAAATTATAAACTCCTTCGTCATCCGTGGGCTCTGAGTTTGTTTTTTGTTGTCTGGGAGGCGGGAGGGGAGAAGTCTTACTGATTTATCTTTATATTGTATTTATTCCCCTCGGGTTGTTTTGTTTTAAAAATTTGATTTTAGTTCCACATATGACTCGTAAAGACCGAATTGTTGAAGCTCCTTCCGCTCTTTGCCTTTTAAACAATTGTTAATTTTATTACCCAAGACGAAAAAAATTTCTAACACTGCTTTTATTAATAATTTCTTTGTGATCAATTGCGCTAAGTGACAAACATCTCTCTATGACATTCACATGGTGAGCGATCCACTGCCAGAAGACAAAGAAGTGGTATATAATATAATATACTTCTCACTCTTTGTGTATAACAATTTATACCATATACAGATACCATATATAGATTCGCATAAGTCTTGATTGGTCTATGATCTTCCGATCTGGAAACCGTTGCGAGCCCCTTCTCTTTTTTGGCTGATCTTCACCAAGATTGCGTCTATCCGTTGGCGTTGTATTTGACATCATATTTTAATCGTATAATTGATTATAATTCATTATTCTTTGTTCTCTTATACTGACTATACTGCTGAAGATGATTCGAAAATTGAGCCGAAACGTTCAAGGTAAAGATATTGCAATGTAATATAAAGCGAAAAGATTTTTTTCTTCGAAGAATAAATACGCACCTGTTACCAGCGATCTTGATTTCTATTAGCCTTTTATCGTAATGTGATTGTTAGATTTCGAGAGTCAGTAGGTTATTTTATAAATTTATGTTTATTAAAATATAAAATTTAGACTTTTATCATTTGAAAAGAAACTGTACCTTATTGGCTAAGATTATTATGATATATAGCTAATAAAATATAATATAATATAGAGGAATTTGAACTAAATATTACCGATTCAAATCTGTCGTTTTAGATATTGAACCATGCGACTGCAAAATATAATGCAATATAATTATATAATAACATTATATAATTAAAATATAATGTTGTAATCGTATACATTCAGAATGTATTCAGGATATTTCAGGATATTATAATTTGCGATATGATTTCTTGTAGACAGATAAAACAGATATTGAATAAAAAAGTTCTGTCCATTTTTCAATTTTTATAATAATTAATGAGTCATAATGAATTAATTAACAAAAATAATGAATAAATATGTATTCGCAAGAAGAAAGCCTACTGTTATGCACACTCACAGTTGCTAGGCGCGGTAAATGTTTGAAGATGTGCATTATAAATAGATAGTCTTATTATTTTTATAGATCTAAATTTGCAGATAAACTATCTAGATTTGCTCATGAGAAATTACTCTGTATAATGTATTGACAATCCTTTCAGATGTCATACAATCAATGCATATGTTTTCGGCAACATAAAATTGTCAATTTCAAAATTGAAATATTTCTTCTTGAAAT